CAAGCAGATGTTTTGTTTTGGGGAATGTAACCGGAACTGGAGTTCAGTCCGTTCGGTTCAAGGATTTGTTTTATGTTTTGTTTTACTTGTGGTTTCGAGTATCATTTGATACTCAGTTTGTTTTATTTGTGGTTTCGAGTATCGTTTGATACTCAGTTTGTTTTACTTGTGGTTTCGAGTATCGTTTGATACTCAGTTTGTTTTACTTGAGGTTTCGAGTATCATTTGATACTCAGTTTGTTTTACTTATGGTTTCGAGTATCGTTTGATACTCAGTTTGTTTTATGGTTTTGTTAAAGTAGGATTTGGAAATCCGTCCATGCAGGACATGGACGAAGTTTGTATTTAAAGGCCGTTGGTTCCCTTAGAGGAACAGCAGACTTCGACGGACAGAGTATTTCTAATATACTTGGTTGAACGGTTACCTCTTCAAGTCCCTATTCTTTATATCTTTCTCTCGGAGCCTCCCTTAGCGCAGTACGCCCATAGGTTGTTGATCAGCTTGTGCGCTACTCCTATTGTACCCGGAAGCGTGATTAGCACCCCGGTGCGAACACGTTACAAGAATAATAATAGTGGAAGGCTGAATATGATTACTTTATGGGATACAATTGCCAGTGATATGTGGCAGGATTATGGGAGGTATTTGGCAGAAAGAGATGTACATTAAGGTCACCAATTCTTAATGTATATATAATACTTGATATAAGCCAGGGGAAAAAATATCTTCTATTCTCTATCTATAGAAAATAAAATACAACATAAAAAAAACCCCTGCTACTTGTATAAATTAAATATATAAGTATAATTTACATGTCTAGCTGCCAGTGCCCTCTCAACCATGTATCATGAACTAAGCCAGCTGAAAGTCCCAGAAACACACATGCCTTGCTCTGATCCTGAAATAAACACACTGCCTTTACCATGTCATTAGTTGAATATCTTCCAGCATAATCCTCCTTAAGAATGTAAACAGCATGCTCTTGCTTTGATGGAATACCATGGGTACTCTGGTATCTTGCTTCCTCATTTGCTTCAGCTAATGTTGCTGTTAAGGAGCCAAGAGATGAGCGACTGGTATGGCAGTGCTTGCGACTTGGACTTGTCAGACTAGGAGACTTATTGTGCTGGCGTCTCGAGGTTGCTGCCTGTGGGGTTCCACTTAGAGGCTGATCGACTGACTGAAGTGATGGGCTTAATTGTAGGTTGTAGGGTGGCTCAGAGGCATCCAAACCATTCAGAAGTGCTGGATCAATCATTCCAAGCCCATAATCCTGAGACTCCAAGCCAGAAGCGATAGAGTCTTGTGAGAGATGTGGATTTTCTTCCTCCTCAACTTCGGCTTGGGATGGTTGAGTTCCAGTGTGTGCAAATCTGCCTGTTGCGCAGACACCAAGAAATCAATCCATAAGGTTATCATAAAGCAGAAACCCCTTATATCTGTACTTTGCCGCATCCTTATGCGACTATTTACAAACAATCTTATTAGCTTTTAACTCAAAACCTTTAATAACCTTACATAATTGCCATAGGAAATGTATAGAGATCTAAATCTTACCTGAATGTATGTCTTCCATACCTCCCCAGAAGCTGTATGAATTCCTTTTACAGCATCCCACACAAAACCTGAGCATTGCCTGATTGTGTGAACAATCTCAAATTCACTTTTTAACTATCTCTTTGTTAGATATTATACATAATATAAAGCTAAGATACAAATTTAAATTCTTCGAAGGAGTGATATACTTACCATAGCCACTTTACTCTTTACTTGTCCAACCGTGATTGGATTTTCCAGAGTGTCCTTGTAAGCTGCATTCAATTCTGCCACCACAGTACCTCATGCTGGCTTCTTAAAACCACTCTCTGTTCTGTCACCATTCTCCACTCGTTTCAGAAGCACTTCTATCCAAAATTGGTCTATTCCTTTGATCCACAAACTATTGCCCATTGTTGCTGAGACGTATTTGTATAGTATATATGGTATATTGTTGTAGGATGATAAGTGATTGATGTTGGCAACATACAGCTTTTTATTTAAAAAAGAAAGTTTCAGCCCTACTTCATAACCACAATGATAGGCTATATTGTCTTGGCATATATATATATTTTGTAGTTGCTCAAACGAACACTTATATTTTAGAAATATTGTATAAATTTAAATTAGAATATACTCGTGCCAAGGTTGTGACTAAGCGTCACAACCCCAGGTTGCTCGCTCGCTCGCAACCTGGGCACTCCTCCAGAGTGCCTGCCAGCTCAACATGACTTGCCAGCTCAACATGACTTGTGGCTCAACACAACTTTTCAGTGGCTCAACACAGCTTTTGTGTGGCTCAACACAACTTTTTTGTAGCTTAATATTACTTTTCATAACTTCATATGACTTTAAAGTACTAAGAAAATTTATAATTAGTATAAATAACTTGAACTTTGCTGTTCCAAATAACTAAATACTGTGACTACTAGACAAATATAATTTTAGCATTTAATATAACATTATAGTATAAGGTAACCAGGCAGCTGAATATAGCCTTGTAGTTTAATATTACTTTGAAGATTAATAGAACTCTAAATAAGTTTATATGTAAAGAATAGTAGGCAAACTATTTTAACATATAAAAAAAAAATATTAAAGCTTATAATTCTTGATATTAGAAAACAAGTAAGGTTGAAAAATACATGTAAACTAGAATATTTTATACAGCAGACTTATAAAGTAAGATTGAGTCATAAAAAATTTATTTCAAGTGATAAAATGTGGTGTTGAGCCCCTAAAAGGTTGTGTAGAGCCACAGAAAAGTTGTGTTGAGCCACACAAAAGCTGTGTTGAGCTACAAGTCATGTTGAGCTGGTAAGTCATGTTGAGCTGGCAGGCACTCTCTTGAGAGTGCCCAGGTTGCGAGCGAGTGGGCAATCAGGGGTTGTGACACTTAGTCACAACCTTGGCACGAGTATTCCATTTCCCACTTTTATTGCAATATATTTTTATTGTGACGCGCCAAACAGAGCCTTGGTTATTTTTACGGTTTGATTGAGTAAGAACATGAGTGAGAATTCATGATCATACTCAAATACATGTACTTAAAAAGACTGCTGTCTTCTACTATGGAAATAGCAGACTTCGATGAACTGTATTCTAATATACTTGGCTGAATGATTATCTTTATTTTCCTATTACACCACCAAAATCTTCCTTAGAGAGCCTACAGTTGTTACTCTCTGGTAGATTAGTGCTCTACTCCTATTGTACTTGATAGTGTGACTAGCGCCCTAGCATGAACACATTACTCTAAGGCTTTTGATAAAATAAAGTAAAATATTTGAACTACAAGTAAATTATAAGCAATATATGCTCAACACTGTAGCATGGCAGCTCAGGCAGCTTTGGAGATAAGAATACAATAATAATAACTTACACAAGTACAAAGATAGGCTAACAGAACTCAAAATTCAGCATTTAAGTTTTCAACCTGCTGAAAGCTAATATTATTCACAATAATCAATCTTGTAAGAAGTTGCTTAAATATTTTCTTATTGAATTGGACCATACAAGACTAAGATACCTGCCCAAAAGCTTCTTCTATCTAAGATCCAGCTTGAGATTTCTGGCCTTCCGGGTTGTCCTTGGTGATACCATGATTATCACTGTGGTGTTTTATTATATTCCATGTTAAGGAATCGCCAAATGTTTTTGCAGAATGTTTTGAAACACCTATTTTTAATCATTAGTTTTTGAACTATTTATCAAATTTAATAATACACAATGGTGACTTTTAAATCAATTTCACTGTATACATATAATGCTTACACCTTCAGCACCATTTACATCCCTCTAAATGCTCCTCGCCATGTTTTGGATCCCAACTCCAACTCTTTTGAACTTTTTTTTACTGGAAGAAATTGTTCAGAGGCTGAAGATAAATGACTTTGCTCGATCATATTACTTCGAAGTATTGGGGTTAACAAACTCGAGGGAGCATCAGTGAGATCACTAATTGTACTAGTAGCAGAACCTAAGAGTGGGTTGTATTGGAGATTTGTTTACTGCTGGTGAACTTGAGCTTGAACATCCTGGAGGTGTAAAATAACAGGATCCACCATAGCTTGTACATTAACAGGAAGATTTAGAAGAATCCTGGCAGAAGAAATTGAATCAGAAGGAAGTATTGTGAGGTTTGACTGTGTTAGAGATCTTGATAGCGAATTATTAGGACTCCGTTGAGTTTGGGGCAAGTCACTCATAATCAGATATATCTTAATGGAAGAAGGTAGGAGTTGGTGGATACTAGTGGATAGATAAACTATGGAGAAAGTCGGTGGGAAATTGAATTGCCCTTACAAAAACCAGATTTCAATTTGGCGTAGGCTCTTATCAGGCCTGGTAGGCTTCTGCAGGCTGGTCGGATTTAGCCAAGTCCGCCTAGGCCTATTCCCAGAGTGACCCGCCTTGGCCTGGCCTACGGCGTGGCCCGTTGGGAACACTGGACACCAGGATGGACACCGAGATAGATTCTCCACCAACCCAGGGTGGCACCGAGATGGACACTGAGATAGATTCTCCACCATTACTCAGATCCCTCGAGCCGCGGGGCGACAGGCCTCGTACTGCACGGGCTAAACGACCACCGGCTGCCTCTGTATCGTCGCGGGACGCCAGGCGGGTCGGGGTGGAACAAGGAGGGTCTAAACGTGGCACGGCAGTATTACCGGGGCGTAGATGGACAGACAGCGATGACCGGCGACTGCGTGAGGGGCTTGCACGGCGAACAAGCATCCCTCAGATCGCGGCTAGCCTCAACCGAACACCGCGTGCAGTTCAGACCAGACTGGCAAGGTTACGAAAGGCGGGTGCCATTAAGCCCATCCTGGCAGGGTGGCGTAAGTGGATGCTTGCGGAGGATGCGCGACTGCATGAGGAGTACGTGCGAGGGACCAATACAAGGACCCTTGCAGATATTCTCAACCGCACACCGCGTGCCGTTCGGGGTAGATTGGCGATGGCCCGCGTGGCCGGTACCATCAAACCCATCTCGGCCATCACCAACCCTCTCCCGACGCAGAAATTGAACATATATGCATTTGGTACTGGTGACAATGCCGAGCTGGGCCTTGGGCCAGAGGTTAACGCAATGGTTTTCAAGCGTCCCAGATTGAATGCCCATCTCCTCCCCGATAAGGTGGGAATAGTTGCCGTTGCAATTGGTGGTATGCATGGCTTAGCCTTATCGTACGAGGGGAAGGTGTACTCTTGGGGTGCCAATGATCACTATGCTCTTGGGAGAGCGACCACGCATACACCTCTGACCCGGGTTGTGTGTTCCGGTGATGATGGCGACAACGACTGCGACGACGAAGTGGCCTTGAATCCATTGGAGAGTACGCCAATGCTGATTACAGGGTTCCCGGAGGGGACTGTGATTATGAGTATTGCTACCGGTGACAGTATTTCGATTACTGTTACCGACACTAGTAGGGTTTACGGATGGGAAACATTTAGGGTATGTGATTAATTCTCCATTCGGGGTTAGTAGTTAATTTAATGTTTAGTGCGCCGACGGCATTCTCAGATTCAATGAGAGGACTAGTGTACAGGAGGTTCCCGTCCTGCTACCTACGCCTCAGAGCATTGTTCGGGTCAGTATTGGTACTGATCACGTCCTTGGCCTTACCAAGGAAGGAGACGTGTACGCGTGGGGCAACTGTCAGCAATCCCAGCTCGGAAGGCATGTCTCTGAGACGTCGCCTCACCGGGCTGACCCCTCGCCAGGTATCCCTTCCCCGGCGCCAGGTCAAGTACGTTGCGACTGGCTCATATTATTCTTTCGCAAATACCCGGGATGGCAGTGTCTGAGCATGGGGGCTCAATCAATATGGGCAATGTGGGATATACAAACCTCTATGCTGCGTTGCAGAACATACAGTAATTCCCGTTCCTACCATCGTCCAGCGTCTTGCAGGGTACGCAATCGTTCAGATATCCGCCGGAGAACATCGCTCAACCGCCCTGACCGAGAGCGGTGAGCTCCTGGTCTGGGTGCGTCTTGACGGTAGACAGCTCGGTATAGACCCTGCGGCGCTTTCAGCGGACGATTGCGTCCGTGACGCGAGGGGCAACCCCCGCTACCTCAGGACCCCACATGCTGTCCCCGGCATCAGGTTCTCCACCATTGGTTGCGGCACGGACCACAATATTGCCATCTCAATGGAGGGACAAGCATACTCTTGGGGCTTCAGTAGCAGTTATCAAACCGGCCTAGGCCCCGACACTGATGACGAGATCATGACCCCTAGAAATATTGAAAATACGGCCACCAGAGGTGTCAGGATGACTTTCGCCGCTGCCGGTAGGTAGTTCTCCATCCTCGCTGGAGTTCCCGCGGATCCTGCTAATTGCGGTTATTCGTGTGCCGATGCACATTGTCAATAATGCAGATACTAATCATGATGAGGAGGTGGTGGAGGAGGGAGGGGATTAACCGGGGCCGCTGAGAGACCCAAAGAATGGGATTTGTACATCTACGAATATGAGACCTTGTAGTAATTAATTAATAATGTTGCCTCGGGACAACGACAGGGGCACAACAAACCTTCCCCATACCGGGAGTCTATGTGCCTTCCCAATTTCCCTCATTAAACCCATTGTACCGTTTAGGTAGCATACAAGACTGGGGCTCATTGTAGTGGTTTAGCATTATTGATTTGGCATTATATTGTGTAGCAGGCGGAGTTGGGGCTGGACCGCCGATCCTTTACATAGCCACGAATATGTCTGAGCCAATATCCTGACGCTATTATTGAACGCATGCTATGGCCTGCCATTCGGATCGCATGTAGCCTATCTCGGGGGTCCTCCCGCTCGGGTCGCTGTCTATCCGGTGTTCCAGGAGGGTGGATATCTAGTCTACAGTGAGGGGTCCTTTCGGATGCAATCAACCGCTATCCACCCCATCCAGGACAGCGCCGAGGGCTGGTGGGACTTGCCGAGGGGGCCTTGCTATCTGTCGTACATTGGATTGGGCTACTGGATGGAGCGATCATGCCTGATTACTCGCCTGGGCTTAGATGAAAACCAAGTAAACCCTTGTAGCATCTCCATCTCATATACAATCAACCAGGAAGGATAACATATAGGCCTCCTAGCCCAGCGCAGCCCACCGGCCTCCATGAATCCAACATTCCATCCGATTCCCATTCCTACAATTCCCACAAATTGACACTCCCGACATTCCAGTGTTCACAATCATTCCAGTGCCACCGCTCATACCAACCCCCCACGATCTCTCGGCATGACAGGATGTACGCCCCCGGCAACACCTTGGTCAGCTACGTAGGTCGGATGTATCGCTTCAGGTTTCGAACTTGTAACAACACGTAAGACCTCAGAGGTACCCCCCCAACTCTGGTCCTGGACACCAGAATAGGGGCCTCGTGTTGCCTCTGCAATTATTCAGTTAAAGGCTGCCAAGCGTCCAGGACCAGACGGTAACAGGCCAGCTTCGCTGGCATCACCAGTTGCAGCTTGTGCGAAGCTCCCACTAGATATGGCGGAGAGGGCTGTGGAGAGGAAACGTGCTAATTCTCACTAATGAACTATAGGTCTAATACAAAACATCTATTTCCTTTGACTAAGGTACTCGCCCAGTGGTATGCGGTTCCCTGACCCTCTTTGCCGCCCGATTTACTGGGTGAATAACAGGCATCCCTATGTTAATCCTTGATTCATCTCCCCGAACATATCCTGCGCTCCACCTTGTTACTGTGTACAATTATCCCATGTTATCCGCTAAATAAACGTCATAATTAAATCGAGTGCGGTGAGAAAACCGTAAAAGGTCGAATAATCGCTCTATGTGCTATGTAGTCTAAAGCTAAAGGGGCTAAAGGCACACTTGGGGACTTGTTCTCTGGAATAGGTGAAAAGAGAAATAGACACCAGACCTTGCCGTGTGAGGTAACCCCAACTAAAACAATCGAGACATCATTGTCACCGCTCGGATGCGCCCCTCACTACCTACGGTTAGCAGTATCCCACAGGGTGGAGAGCTCAACAGGCTTAATAGGTACACCATCAGATGTGGAAACAAGAGTGCGGACACCCTCGACAACCTCCTGTAACACGGGGCTTTGTTCCTCCTGTCTCCCTGTGTGGTGATTGACACGGGCTCATAGCTCCTGATCCCGTTCACCCTGACTCTCTCTGCATTCGTGACGACCGTGGCCTTCGATGCGATGATATCAGTAATCCTAGCTCCTTATTGTATTCGCTCTGATGTTGGGCCATAGAGGCAGTGGCGACATCTGGGGCATATGGTGCTGACATGCTCGCTGATCGGGTGGGTGAGGGTTGGATACTTTGGGGATCGTGGACTGGGGACGCATCTGCCCGGGACCTGGGTTGGTTGTATGCGACAGGAAGGAGGGATGGAGGTTGGTGAGGTAAGCGCCACCACGATTTACAGTCACTCCGTTCGCTATATATGTGCTATTGTGAATGGTTTGCCGAGGGTGAGAAATAGGCAGGCAAGCGGGTTGTCCGTTCCCAGCGGAGGCAGTGAAGTATGCCAATCCTGGATTCTTCTTCTACAGCCATATTTGATTCTTTTGTTCACAGAGCATCCTCCAAGCTCGGCTGTGGGCTGCGTTGTTGCGAGGGCAGGAGTGTGGGGATGGAGGTTTCTGAGAAGATGTTTTTTTTGGGGGGGAGTGTGGTTAGGCGGAGGGGCAAAGGAGTGTCTGAGTTTGGTGAGAGGAAAGATTGACGGGGCGGGGGGGTGGAGGCTGCCCACGGTTGGAAAGTGGAGGACGAAAAAGGGGGTGGAGGGGAGAGGGGAAGAGGAGAATTTGGTGGAGAATCGTGGGTAGACGAGAGATGAATCGGGGGAAGGGAGCGACTGTGATGAAACTCGAAATCTGCCTGGTCTCTAGAAGTTATAACCCAGGCTAAATCAGTAGAGTCGTTAGCACACTTACCTGCGAGTGAGACTTTGTGAAACGGCCACACACAGTAAAGATGAGGAAATCAATAAAAAATGTATGACTGTATGGGGTAAGGGATTTTCTCCGGCACTGTCCTCTTACAGTGTAGCAAATATTGAACTACTCCTACTGACGGAGCGTAGACAGACGCAAGCGAAGAGACGAGAAGGGCGCAAACTGCATTTGTGGCAGGTAAAGGAGGTGTCTCGTAAGCGGAACACTGCCAGAATTTCCAGCGAAGGTAATAATATTATGGTAGCTAGTGCGTTTGCGTGGTGACTGAGGATGCTGCCATTACAGTTTTGTTTGTTTAGATGCGTAATGGGGCCAGGTGTGTAGGGTTTCTCTTTTGGCATAGGCAGAGGGTTTTTCTTATCTTGACACCTAGGGTTTGGAAACTAGTCACATTCGTCATTTCCTATGAACCACAGTAAAGATTTTTGTGCGTTTGGTTTTCTCCCTTCCCCCCCTCGGGGCCGGATCCACCAGACCGATCACTCTAATTTCACTACTAATGTTCATTACTCGCATTCAACCTGGCCATTTACCTGCCATCCTCTTCGGTTAGATCATGACATTTTTTCCCCGTTCCAAGTTACTAGGACAAGATTGAGTAACAATAACAGACAATCAAAAATGCCACGTTTGCCAGTGGATCGCTTCGCATGGCGTGATACATTTCTTTACGACTTCACCAATCCTACCAAGGTACTCGGAGGTCTCTGGACCGCACCTGGCACTACCCACAACAACCTTTATTCAATGGTGAATATTTGTTGATTATTTACTGCTCCCTTCGGCCTACAAGATGAGCACCAGCAGTTGCTTGCCAGGGATGAGGAGCCCCTCAGCCCAGGAAACTACTATATAGTCTCCGCTGGTTAGTTTCTTCTATGCTTCCTTCACCGGCTATTACTTACTCAGAATAGGTTCCATTACTGAAACCGACGAAGCCGTACTAAGGCGTACTGGATTGGGAACCGGATATCGTGCCATCTCATTCCCTGACGCTGTGCGTGAGCGAGATAAGCGATGCGTAATTACCGGCAGGCAAGCACGACTTGCGAACTTTGGTAACTGGAACACGTTCCATGCCTGTCACAACTTTCCTTTGGCATATGAGCAGCAGTGGAATGATAGTAACTTCGGTCGTTGGATCACCGTTCCCCCCTCCAATGAGTCCGATGGAACCATCAACTCCGTACAGAATGGGATCTTACTTAGCAGGGATATACATGGTTTGTTTGATTTCTATTCATTGACGATTAACCCCGATGTAAGGGTAGCTAGGTCTATCTATCGTCATCGCAGCTAACAATTGTATAGGATAACTACAAGATCGTGTGCTTCTCACCTGATACCCTGGATTTTAACATCGCCGGTCGCCATCTTGACCAAATGTTCCTCGACCACCCACATCGGCCCGTCATACAAATTCTACGCTGGCACTTCCGGCAGGCAGTGCTCATTAATATGAGGGGGGCTCAGAAGTCTACTTTTGAGACCGATTTCCCACCTGGCTCAGACATGATGAGTGAAGCCGTAGGGTGCGAAAGCAGCAGAGAGAATGGAGCTTCAGCTATTTACTCGTTTTAATGCAATGGAGAATCATGCCTGAGGTAGAGTGCCAAGCAGTGTGTATATAGGATATGACCGCATTCTATTGGCAAGTAGGTTTAGTGCCGATGTTGGTTCTTAAATTCCCTCTGGAAAAAGACGAGCTCTCCTATCTTATGCTAAGCAATACTAGGGATTTAACCCCTTCTAAAAGTTAATGTCTCTTGCCTTGTTCACTTGAGGTCGATTGCTGATTGAGTGTATTGAGATATTGAAGCTGAGCCATCGACTCATTGAACCGGTGACCCATCAACTCTGACATTGTAAAAGACAAGATTCGTAGCCTATTACCCTAACCTAGGATTCCCTTGGGAGTACCTGCAGGTATTGGTGAACTTTCTCCTATTCCTTGAGGTCGATGTTGACAAATAATGAGGAGCAACGTGCTGCCTTTGAGAGAGTAGCATGTTTAGGGATGAAATGGGATATATAAAAGTCAGACTTGTAATTCAGTGACCTCCATTTCCAATAACTGTGAGAAGACAGAGCTCTTAAATACAAAAATGATGGCTACTCTTCCGGAAGTCTCTAAACTATGATCACATCATTTCCACCATTTTTACCATTTCCCACACCAGCCTTGTACCCCTCATGTCCCCATTTCCCTTCAGGGCTTCCTTCTCTCCTTTTGCTACTTGGTAAAACTTCAGCCCACTCCTCACGTATTTCTTCGAGTAGCTAATCCTACGGTGCATCCTGTGATATCGTTCTGGCATATTCTACATAGAATTGTAGTTGGAAGTATTACCTAGATGTGATGATAGGTGCAGATATGTTCGGCCAGTGGACTGTCGACTTGGGACATGCGGAGTTAGGAAATCATGGAAGTCATATTAATGTATATTCATACTACAGATTAGTATAAGTAGGACAGTCTCAG